ACAGCCGGTCTCACATGCCCTCTCTAGATCCTGCTCGAATAAACTGGCCAAATATTCTTCTGGCTTCATTCTTTCGTCTGCTTTACACACAGCTCTCATACCTTTCACCTGGAACACAAATTTTCATAGAATAATTTAACGTAATTTTTATGGCCGTTTCTGCTATCAACTGTTGTGCCGAATACATTTCCGGCCTCTCTCCAAGTACAATTTCGATAGTTCCACTTCTCCTAACCTTTAAACACTATCAAAAAATATGATAGACATAATTCATAATGGATGAAAACATCTTAATCAAAATCTCAGTTTATTTTTTATTCCAATTCTGTTAAAAATTTCCTTCCAAAAGGATCGTAAAAAATGATTATATACATGCGCAAGTGTAATCAAGATTACCAATGCCACCCAAGTAACCGGTTTAGGGATCAAACAACTGGCAATGTTGCCGAAATTTTGCTTCCGCTCTTACCACAGTGTTATCCTGAACCCATAAATTTGGCACTTATGTATTATGCTATATATAGAACATATATACACAGTATATGTGTAATATATGTACAATGTATATTATACGCATATAGTGTATAGATAGATATCCCGGTATATTCCATTTCTTCAAAAAATGCGAAAATATACAATAAAGACCTCCATGTTGTTTAAAAAATACCTTTCCAAGATATAACGACCTTAGATGCAAAGATGAAAGATATAGCGATGCTCCACCGGACTCAGCAGTAGCACTAGAAGTGTCCTTTAAGCCCTTTGAGACAGCTTCGACTGTCAAACGAAGATTATCGCTACACGATGGATTGATGCTCGATATATATTCCTGCAAAACTCTTACACTCAAAGCAATAAGATCTGCTTTTTTCTAAACTGCAATAAGATCTTTTTTTTTTCTAAAATTATTATAATTTGCTGGATACAAAAGATAAAACTAAGCTTAAAGGGATTATGTTAGCATGGAACTCAAACTTAAAATATTTATACTGACAACGAGATGACTGCGTGTACTGCCTGGCGCCCACTTGATTGCCTCTTGGAGAATCTGTTCGCAGCGTAATGAAAAATCTCGCACAATTAATTTTCTCTGCTCCAGCGTGTCCTGAAAAAAAATTTTTTTTTAGCAAATTCGTACCTAATTCTTCCACCGCACGGAGTGGGGAGAGGTAGGGGTACCAGTTCTACTCATAAGGAATGCTGAAATTGTAAACAAGATGCCCAAAAATATATAAATAGTGCCAAATCAGATGAAAAATGTCACTGCATAGTGCAGTAGATCAGAAAAATCAGGGATTGGATAGGTAAGAATTTCGATCTAAACGAAAAAAGCTGAATAAGCTTGGCAACTGTTAGCAACAGAATGTCATTTTGACTAAAACGCATCACTTTCGTGGAAGAGTATCAAATATTCAGGGTTTTTTGAAGGGGAATTTGGCTAAGCCACCGAATATGATACGAATAACTATGAAGAAACAGAGAAATGATAACGTGTCCATAAAAACAGAAACAAAAGAAACGGAAGCTTCACAGATATTTGCATCGAGGCCACTAGTAATGGACCGAATACCTGAAGCTGGATAGTCCACTTCAGTGATGGAAAAGACAACGTCATAGTTTTGCAGTCGGTATCGTTCTCAAGATTATTTGAGAGCGCTTCCAGGACTTGCAGTGCCACATTTATGAAATTGCCATTCCACAGCAAATGCGGGAAGCTCCCGATCAAATTCGTTAGACAAGTATCTGCGCACTTCCTCACCTGCAACACCAATAAGGTAAAAATAAATTGTTTATAATTCAGTGGCAATCGAAAGTAGTCTAAGTGACAGCGTGCACAGACAGCAAACAATCGCAGACAAGGCTTCTGATAACTGCCTCTTTTAAAAATTGCTTAGATTTTTTATTGGCCAATTTCCCATCGAAACGAATGATCAAATCATACGGGGGCTAGTTATGTCATTAGCGAAGTAAACATGCGGTCCTCAGTATGACAGAGGCGATATGCAAGCGATTTGGGAATGCAGATTGCAAGTGACGATATGCAAATTTTGAATGCTATATCGAACTGGCATGATCGCCTTTGCTCAGACTTTTAATGCACTACAGTATTGGCAAATTTTACAATTAAATAATGTGCAAATATGAAGCCACATGGCCAAACGGTGGTCATAATTAAGGATGCCCTTGCCAGTTCTGGCACTGCTTTGCTCACATTTATAACGTTTCGCAAAATTTTATCTTTAAACCTTAGCGTACCTATTTTTTTCTCCAACAAAACATGGTACCCGCAACACATAGGCAGAATGGCATTAAAACAGAGTAGTATTACAGCTCTATGTTAATACATTTCGGACGAATTTTACATCAGCTTAGCTAAAATAGCTAAGGTGTTGTAAAATTCGCCCGAAAAGTATTAAAATTTATACAGAATCACGACTCATGTGCTAAATATTACGTCCCTTTGGCAGATCTGTACATCATTTCATGAGCTTAATTTAAATGTTGCTTTTTTAAAACACAATAACATCATTTCAGAGCGAAAGTGACACGAACAGTGGTGGATGTGAAAAGAGGGGAGTAGATGCGATGCTCTAATGTATGCATAAAACCAGTGAAAACGTAATGGATAACCTCTTTGAGGTGATGATTAAACATGACCAGCAGGTACTGCGCATGTAATTCTAGCTGAATTTCACAGGTTCTGTCCAGACTGCGATTTTTGGCGCCTTTCAGATACTCAATAAATATTGTTGTTGCGGCTGTAAGAAGACATGTCCAAATTCCATCTTTGTCCTTTCTGATCGATCTAAAGCAGAAATGATGAGCCACTTGAACAGTGCACAACATAACAATCCAGAACTTTTCCTCTGCCTATTCCCTTGGACTAAATGACCGGTTAAATTAATTGAGTCTAAAAATCCATCTTGATAAGCTCATGTTACGACCATATGCCAGCCATTACTGCGTCTATCCAGTGCATCTGCAACTTTAAAAAAAAAGGATGTAAAATTACCTACGAAAAATAGTGGGAACCAATGAAACAAGGCACAAAA